GGGACCCCACCGGGCACGGAGCCGAGGGGCGAGACCGGGACCCCACCGGGCACGGAGCCGAGGGGAGAGACCGGGACCCCACCGGGCACGGAGCCGAGGGGCGACCAGCGGAGCAGGACAGGCGCGGAGAGCTGCGCTCTTTGTGCAGTGTTGAGATACCATAAATCACAACTTATCAGGTGCTTGTTTAGAGAAAAACGAAAAATCCTGTTCCGTTACACACGGAGCGAACTCACACGGGTGGCTGTGTGAATTCCCACCCGCCGTTTGTGCGGGTCGTGCCGGCAGCTTCTACCGCTGCTCGAATCCCCGAGACGGAGGGACGGTGTTACCTGAGCACCGAGCGATGTGCCGAGCATCGGTCTCTGCCCGCGCAGCATCGCGGCCACCGCCCGGTGCGGGATGGGGCAGAGCCGGACTGACACAGAGCCGGGCGGTGCGGGATGGGATCAGAGCCGGACTGGGACAGAGCCGGGCGGTGCGGGATGGGATCAGAGCCGGACTGGGACAGAGCCGGGCAGTGCGGGATGGGATCAGAGCCGGACTGACACAGAGCCGGGCAGTGCGGGATGGATCAGAGCCGGGAAGTGCAGGATGGGATCAGAGTGGGCGTTCGCTGCCCGCTAGGCCAAGCACCCAACAACTGCTCTGAGCAGTCAGAATTCCTCCGCAAAAAATGCAATTAAGATAACTATAAAATTTGATTTTGAGAAAAATATTTTCATGGGATCCTGCAAAAAAATGAAAACATTTTTTCCCTTCAGTATAGAATTGACCAAAATAGCATATGTGCTCAGGTACCATAAATAAACTCCACTCAAAGCAGAATAAAATATTTTAGGCAATTTCTATATGGAATTTGGATGTCGTTCTCTGATATATAAAAAAGACCTGATAATTCTCTGGCCTTAGTCCCAGGTAGCTGCTTGCTGTCACACCACTGCTGGCACATTTGGCAGCTATTCTTACAGGCTTTATTTTCTTTTGGTGTGAAGAAATTAAGTGAGCAGCTCAGGAATTTTAGGCATTTATAAAATTTTTTGAAGGCTCAAATTATTTTTTCAAAGGTTCTCTCACAAAATACCCAGCATGTTCTGCTGGGGTAGTTTCAACTATGGGTAGATCAGAAGTGAAACATTTTCCCTAATATCCCATTATGTAAAATCAGACTGACAAGACATTGCAAAGTAACTGTGTATTTTCAATAACCAAAAGTACTGAAGTGCTGTTAAGCCTCCTGTGTGTGATGCATTTAATATGCTAAATTAAAAAAACTTGAGACTGGATTTCACACAATTGTATGTTGTTGTTAAGGGATGGACTTGGRCAAATTCAGGTGAAGCCCTGGCAGGAGTGGAGGCTGGGAGCTGGGAAGCTGTCCTGGTCTGGAGAGGTTCAAGCCTTCGTGAAAACACTGATTTCACTGCACTCTGCAGCTGTTACCACCATGCTCTTGTAAACTGATTTAAGAATCTGAATTTCAGAGGAAAGAGCTGTTTCAAGTGAATACTTGTGCTGGTGAATCTGTGATTTGCATGTACAGAATTAGTCAGTGAATTGGTCAAATGACTTTGTGCCCAAGTGCATGGCTGTGCTAGGGAGCACAACTGGCTTGGAACTTGTGGCACAACCAGCTGGGAATGCTGCKGCTGTGAGTTGAGAAGTTTCCTGGCATAGATGCAAAATGCTATGGGCTGAGAAAYGACAATCTGTTCCTGGAGTGAATAAACACATCTGCCTCCCCCGAAAGAGCTGAGTGCACAGGGAGTGAAACTGTAATTTAAAAAAATTTAACACAGTGAAAGCAAGGATGAAAATATCTTCAAGGTTAATKGAGTGGCTAAATATACTCACAAGTGGTAAAGATTTGRCAGTTTTAGGAGTCTTGTTTATGGRTGAATTTCCCTTCAGCCATAACCCCCAGAAYCCCCTTTTCAGGGGTGCTGCCTCCAGCTGCCTGTGGTGCCCTGCCCACTGTCTGCCTGTGCTCTGCACATTTACAGCCCAATAGAATTGTGTACAGCAGCCAGAAATGAAACAGCTTRACAAAATTACCCTCAAAACAATCTGGTGGAACTTGGATGAACCTGGGGCAAGGTGTGGTGATCCCCCAGTATAAGGGCAGTGGTGCACAGAGGAAGACATTGTTGGGGCTCTGCTTCTTCCTGGAGCAGTGTCAGGGTGGTGAAACCATCTTAGCATCACCCTCTGCAACCTTGGGCGGGGTGTAAAAAAACCAGAAAAACCTTGCAAAAACTATTCTACATTTAAAGCACTTTAGTAATGTGTTTCCCCAATCTGTTTGTTTTTTTTTTGTTGTAGGGCCTTTTGTTTTTTTTAGTATGAAGTCACCAACAGTCTTCAACCATTGGAGATGATGAGAATAAAGTAACAAGATGTCAACACTTAGGGTAACATTTTTATGTTAAAATGTCAAAAAGCCTTCCTGAATTTTGTATAAYTTTTCAGACTGATGTGGGATCACATTACACATCAGTTTCTGACAAACTGTATTTCTCAGAATGTAAATACTGTAGTGCTATTACACGGTGCGAGGGCTTGGGCCATTACTGAGGTGTTGGATTGCATT